AAACCCTTGGGGAACAAAACTCATGCCAAAAAAAAAAAAAAAAAAAAAAAAAAAAATCACATCATTGATAGCAATGTCATTCACCCCGAACACACAGAGTATTAAATGAGTGAGTAGAGAAGGGTCCAGAGCAGCAGGACAGATACTCAGAAGAGGGCCCTGGGCTTGCAGACAGACCCCCACTAACAGAGAGCTGCCCACAGGATACCTTATCTTAGGATTTGTGTATGGGGAAATCACATCATTGGTAGCAATCTCTCATTCACCCCGAACACACAGGGTATTAAATGAGCAAGTAGAGAAGGGTCCAGAGCAGCAGAACAGATACTCAGAAGAGGGCCCTAGGCTTGCAGACAGACCCCCACTAACAGAGAGCTGCCCACAGGATACCTTATCTTAGGATTTGTGTATGGGGAAGAAATTGGGACATTTCAGTCAAGGGCTTGATCATGTTTCAGTTCAGCAATAGCAGAAAAACAGACCCAGAAATCCTGCTAAATTAGCTTTAAGTGACTGGGTGCTTCTTTCCCAGGAGGTGCTGACCTCCCCAGGCTGCTGCAGGGTTTCACTCCAGCCAGGAGAGGCAGGGATGGGGATGCTGGCAGCGGGGCCTGCATAGAGCCACAGGGCCAGCGCTCTAACAACATCTGCTTTCTGTGATCCCTGGGCAGCACTCCAAGTTCATGCTGTATATACATACATCTGTGTCTCTGTACACCACGGGCCGCTTGTCTCCTCAAATGCTGCCAATCAGCAGCAAAACACACCAAAAAGCTGTTCCCAAGAAACATCAAGCTGCAACCTAAGTGGAGAGGCCACAGGTCCTGCTCAAACCAGAGCTGAACAGTTCAACATCGCCAAGCAAAACTCAGCAGCGGGACCCCAAATCCCATCCCATACTGCGGCACTACAGCCTGCTGCACCCACATGCCTGCAAGGGACCATGGAAAGAGGATGGTCTGCACTGAGCTAAAGTGGTTTTGGAGCCCCTTTAGGATGATCAGGCCATGATGGATCACACCACAGGATCCAGTGCCTCATAGGGGCACCCTAATGACCCAGATGGGTCTGGCAGATTCATCTGCTTGGGAAACAGTTACAACATTCCCAAATCTCCTCTGAACCATGCCCATTTACAAGGGTGGAGGAGAAGGCATTTTAATGTTCCATGCAACATATAAATACACTCCTTGGCCATCATAGTCAGGGTCACATTGCCACTGGGAGCACACCTGACTGCTCAGGCCAAAATTAGCCACTAATAACTAATTAGCCACTAATCACACTCACTTGTGAGACCTCAGAGGAGGGAATTCACACCTGGGAAACCACCTTGAAATGATCAGCTTATAGGAGGCATCTCACATTTTTCCACTGCTCTGCCCATAACATTGACACATCTGAAAACTCCAGAGCATGAATCACGCTTCCTCGGCACATAGTTCCTGACTTAGGTGTCAGCTGCACAGAGCCAGGACTGAGAGATGATTTCTTCCCAACTCCCAGAGCGCATGAGAGAACAAATCAACACGTGGTCATATCTAAAGGACTTTTATCCATTCAACGACTTGCTTGTATTTAACAAAGTTCTAAGTTCCCAGTACTCAGGATCACCCTCATTACCACAATCTCAGCAGCACTTACCCGCCCATGAACTCTTAGGGGTGTTAACAGGAGGCATCTCCAGCCGGGTCAAGTGGTCAAATATGTCCCTCCCAGAAGGCTCCAAGATTCCCTTTAAAAAAAGATCCATTTTTTTCCCTTTAAATATATTGCAAAGGTACAAGAAATAAAATCATAAAAAAGCTAAGTGGCCAAAACATTTTCTCCTATTTTTTCCTTCCTCCTCAGAGGCACCCGGCGGGAACAGATTGCAGGAAGCAGCTCTGCTGCCAACAAACACTGTGTTACTATAGAGATGTTTCGCTAGAGCCGCTTGCAGGAAAACACGGCTGGTTCCTCACACGCCAGCAGCCTGCTCTGAAAGCCACTGGAACCCATGCAGGGCTGCAAAGGGGCACAGAGCAGTGGGACCCCAAATCCCCTGGCCTTGGATGTCACCCTGGCACAGCGAGCTTGCTGCCTCTGAACAGCGCTGCGCAGATTGCAGAGTCATGCGCTCAAAAGCCATAAAGCACCAGAATTATGAGTGGTAAAATAAGATTCCTCCACCCTGTTGGAGGCTCTGCTTTCCAGCAGGCTCCACATGATCCAGGAAGGGTGATTTTGCTTTGCCACCAAACACTGTGGTACAGAGCACAGGGCTCTGCAGGAGCCCTGTTCCCCCCACTCCAAGAGCTCAGAGGCACTCAGAGTTTGCAGGCAGCCCTCATGTCTTCTCTTAAGAGTTGCCCCTTCCCTCTCCTTACACACAACCTCACCCCTTAATCCCCCTGTCTAATTTTCCTTCCCCACTTCCTTTAGCTTTTTTCTCCCCCATTCCCACCCCAAGTTGGCACCTCCCAGACCTTCTACCCCAGCTTCTGCAGCCCACAGAGACAAACACCCTCCCCAAGTATCTGAGCATCACTGGGATCTTCTTCTGTGCCAAAGCACCCCAAAAACCAGGTAAAGGGGTGTCAGGAGCTCAGATCTCATTGCAGGTTTCACTAGCCCAAACCTCTCACCTATAAAGTCCACCCAAAAACCAACCCCCACCAACTAAATTCTGCCCCTCCCACAGCACCTGCCAGGGGTTTTAGACCAGATTAAGATCCCTTGACAAGCTTCAGCTGTACCAGCCAGCTGGTTTTTAAGCTGCAAGGAGAGCAACAAGCCCAGGGTGCAGTGCTGCAGGTCTCCTTCCCCTCGGAAACAAGTCCCGGGGAAGTCTAGACATGATGGTGTCTAAGTGTCTTTGAGGTTCACTGCAAAAAAGAAAGCCCCAATAAGCTCTGATTTTCTGAGCCCAGCTTGCGGTGATGGGGACTGAGCCGACTGTGCCGTGCGGGCACAGGAGGGTCATCCCATGGGCTCGCCTGGCTCAGGGAAGGTCACACACATTCCTGCAGGTCACACACGTTCCTGCAGGTCTCCTCCAGGGCTCCTGGCCACTGGCCACGGCAGCCTGGTCGCTGCTGTTAACACTCCTGCAGCCGGGTTTTACATCACCCAGTTTATTTTGGTCCCGGTAGCAGCAAATGTGGGAGAATCACCCCGGTGAAGGGGAGGCCGGGGTGAGCGGCGCCCGTGGTGCCTGGCGACCCTCAGGCGCACATGAGAGCTGGGGCCTGCGGCCAGACGGCAACTCTCCAACAGACACCGAGGAAGCGATGGGGCCTTGCTCCTGTTTGGAGGATTTAATCTCATTTGGGTGAAATTTGGGGATGCCACAGTGTGCGCAGAGGCAACCCAGGTGCCTGGCACCCAGCTGGAGCGTCGCTGCAGGGCAGGACCAGGGCGTCCAGCCAGGCGTCTCTGCGCGCACACCGGGCCTTGTGGCAGCAAGAAAGGAGCCGGCGCAGGAGCTCACCTGCATGGTGACCCGCAGCGGGGACAGCGGCGCCATGGCCGCTGGCAGGAGGCCCCGTGCCCCAACGGGAACCACCCCGCGGGCGCCCCGCAGCGGGCCCTGCGCCGGGCCCACATTGTGATGCTTCGGAGGCCGCCTGCACCGCGGCCGCGACTGTTGCATCAACCGCCCCTCAGCCGACACCTGACGGCGTCTTCACAACCGCGGGCAAGAGAGGGACACGGAGGCAAAGGGGCATCCTGCGTGCCGGGCTCCCCGACGGGTATCCCCTACGTGCACCCACTGTTGCTTTTGGCATATCACTTGCTGGGCACATGGGACTCCTCAATTTTCTGCTTTTACCTCTCTCTATTTTATAAGAATATACGGAGAGATGTTCTGCAGATTTTGGAAGCGGGAGGCAGATTTCACGACAAATTCCTCTGAAGAGCCACGGAGGAAAAAATGTTGCAATAACAGGAGGGACTAGGTGACCTCATGGATATTTTCTGCATTGAGCACTTGGGAGCTTGTGGCTCCTCCCGGATCCTCCCGCATGCAGCTTTTGATGAGCTGCAGGCGAAGAAGAGAGGGTGTCTGTCTGGGAGCAGGCTGGGCAAGGGCCAAGTTTCTGGGGCGTTAAGGTGGTTTCAACAAGTCCTCGAGCTTCTTTCACCATTGCAATAACCTGGATTTGGTGCTTGGATTAGGGTGCTTCCCTTGCCCTGTCCACGCCGCAGCAGCGGGGCACAGAAGGACACGTGGGTGGGCAGACCTTGCATCCCCGTGCTCCTCGCTGCACTCCGAGCGGCTCCGTCACCCCGTGTCCCACATTCCCAGTGCATCCATGCCAGCAGGTGCGGATATCACCTGATTTCCTGCAAGCTGCCCACCCTCCTGTCCTTCAACAGTGACCCAAGGGCCCCACTCCCAAAGGAAACAGTGTGTGCAGAGCGAGGCCTCCCCTCCACGCGCCCCTCTTCTTCCTCGGGCCGAGGATGAAGGCTGAGCCGGCAGGGAAGCGGGGGCAGCGTATGGTCTCCCCCAGCCCCTCAGAGCTGTAAGCAGCACCTACGGGTCACGTAAACACAAACTCCAGCTCATCTCAGCAGCTGGGACTGCGACCCAGGGACGGGTGAGGAAAACGCCCGAGCAGCCGGCAGAGGGTGGGAGCTGCTCGGACATCTGGAACATACGGAGGCAGGGAGGATACACCAAAAAAAGGAGGGAAAAAAAGGCAAATTCAACCCAGTCCAGCAATTCCATCCATCCATCTCTCATCATCTGTCCCTCTCTCATGGGAGGGCTGGTATTTTCCAGATAAGGGAAAGCCATCCCTATGGGCCGTGCTTGGGTGGTGTCCTGGCATTTCCACCCTGTTCCCGGCCAGGAGCAGGAAGCGCAGAAGCTTTAGTACAATGGAACTATTTTATCATTGACAGTAACTATTTTCCTGGAGCATCGTAAATTAAGAAAACTCCAGAGAACGCAGAGAAGGCAGAGCCCTCCCTGCAAATTCAGAAGTTTCAGGACTGAGGTCACTTCATCTGCTGTCCAAACACAAATGTGTCCCAGCCCTGTGCAGCAGAAGTTCTGACGACTTGGAAAAGTGGCGACGGGGAGAGATGAGACTCAGGGGGGACATCAGGCTCTGTCACAGACAGGGAGACAGGGAGCGAGAGGAATAGTGACCTGAGAACACTGTTACACCCTGGAAGGATGGAGCAGAAAGATGACTGAAGTAAATAGTTCTCCTCAGGAGCCAGCTGGGACGCTGTGTGCAGGCAGAGCGAGGGGAGGTCTGCAAAACCAGGCATCCATCCTGCAAGAGCTAGGTTGAAGGAGTGACACCGGCAGGATGCCGGTTTCCAGGCCCCTGGCATGTGCCGGGGGTGGTCACAGGCTCCAGCTTTGTGGCGGTCACCAAGCAGGGGGTGCCAGGGGCCAGGCCGGGGCCAGGCCCTGCTCCACAGGGTGGCTCAGCCTCCATGGGCACTGCTGGAGGTTCCGCAGGGATTTGCCTGGCCCGGCGGCGCCCGGCAGCCTCCGCAAAGCAGGCAGCGCTGCAGACACTCACCTGCCCTTTGGACACAGGAGCCGCCGTTCTGAGGAAACACATTGACATCAAGCACTAGAGACTTCCAGGAGCTCGCTCTAGTTCAAATATTCATGGAAATGAATAATCGCTTCCTCTCTCAGCTTCCCTTAACGGGGAAGAGCTATTCCAAGCTTTGTCTGGAACTGAAAAAAGAAGCATGTCAGGAAGCCAAATCCATTTGTGGGGCAGTAGAATAGAGTGCTGAGAAGTGCTGGTCTGACCCAGATCCGGTGCATGCTGATAAACCTCCCCTGAATCATAACGGTCTAAAACCCTTTCCCCAAAAAGTTGGATTCATGATGCAATGTCCCGCTGACCACTCCCCACATTGCTCATCTGGGCAGGGACCCCTTGCAAATGCCAACGTGGTGCGCTGTAAAAGCTTCCTCAGTTTATTGTTGTTGGTAAGAGATGCTAATTGTGTGCCCAGCAAGAGTGCTCCAGTGAGGAAATGGCCATAAAGTGCATTTGTGTGACACATGCCGCAGGCTGGCCGCGAGCGCTGCGCTTCCTGCTCACCTCTCCACACGTGGCTTTGCACCTACCTCAGCAGGGGAGGGAAACGAGCGCGCTGGGACTGAGCCTGCACTCACGTAACGAAAGAAAGGAAAAAGGTGAGAGGTTTTCAGCGTGTAGAGCCCAATGCCATCCTTGAGCAAAAGCTTGCGCGATGTAAATGTGCTGCTAGGCCTGGTTGGTATTTGGCAGGGAGCTGAGGCAGTCTGATTCCACAAGAAAGTTGATACTGAAGCCATGATGAGAGCCTGGATACCATGCCTTGTGTTTGGATCATGCTTTTTCCAGACCAATGAGTAAAAACAAGCAATTTTTCAGGTATCAAAAAATTGCAAATCAAAAGTGTCCAGATGAGATATATGATCCTAAAAATATCTTTTCATCCGTCCATCCATCCATCCATCTGTCCATCCATCCATCCCTCATCCTTTAGTCAAAAGGCAATTCTGTGCTGGATTTACAGAAAAAAAAAAAAAAAGAAAAAGACCCCAGGTTGGAAGGAAGGGCAGAGTAAGCCATCCTCAAGCAACTGGAGCAGCATCTCTCCACCATCCAGAGCCAGAGCACAGGCTCAGGAGCAAGGATAGGGCTGAAGGGGGTGGGTTGCACCACCGTGTCCTCACCACCCCGCTGGCTGCAGCCTCCCTGCGCAGACGGCAAGGACGGAGTGAGACACACTTTGCTGCCGATGCCTCCTTGGCCACCGTGGGCTGGTCCGTGACTGATTCAGTCGTTCCTCCACTGTGTCTCAGCTGCAATCGTTCTCAGCCAGAGTTGATGAATATTTTTCAATTAAGTCATAAGAAAAATAGAAAGCCCCGTGCCCTGAGTATGCTAAAATCCCCCATCTCTGCTCTCTGTGATTGCCCATCCTATAGACCAGGATTCCCAGGGAAGGTCACACAGTGACATGGTGGTGCAGCAAAACCACAGAGCTGGTGCAAAAAAGTCCTTGAAGGAGCCCACACCAACCCTGGGAGCAGCGACCCTGCTGCGAGCTCTGCAGTTAGCTGTGGTGTTCCCCACACTCACTGACATGGCCGTATCCCTCTTGAGGTTGTGAATGATCCAACACCCAGCTGGGGAATTACCTCGAACGCACTCGAAGTATTCGGAGTAACAGTGTGGATGTTTTCCTGCTGTCCTTCGGACACGCATTGCTGAGAGCGGTAAGCAACCGTCAGCCCTTCTAGAGTGAGGAACACTCAGTGTCCGGAGCATGGAGAGACCATGGCAGCGCTCCAGATGGCAGGAGAAGCCGACAAGCGGTGGCATGAATCTCCCAAATGTCACACTGGTCACATTACAAAGCGAGGAGAGGAAAGAACAGGGTCAAAAATCCTACAAACCAGAATGCAAAATTCAGCTATCGGCCACAGATTTTGATATCTACTGAGGAAACCCTCCTACCTGGGTTATGCTGTCAACTCAATATGCTGTCATCCTACCTGTATCCGTTTAATGTGGGGAGCAAATCTCACATGCAAGAAAATAAGAGAAAAAAAAAAAAAAAAGTTGAGGCTGGATAGAGCGCATGTTTGGCAGGTGACGAGGAGCTAGCATCCCCCGGCTGCCAGCGGAGTAACTGAAATCCCAGCACAAATGTATGGAGCCTTTCAAGAGCAGCAGCATTTGTGGCAGCCCTGCCTGCCAAGTCCCGCTAACAGGAAAGCAAATAGGAGCTGCCATGTGAGTTGGGCCCCATGGAGAAGCTGCTGCTGTGGTTGGCATGGTGCTGGGAGAGCCCCACGGCTCCTGCTAGGGCTGGCCACCAACATCCGCATCTCCATAGGCAGGAAGAAGGGGACAGAGGGTGTCTCAGCCCTGAGCATCCTCCCAAAGAGTGTCCGAGAAGGGCTGTGAGCAGCATTTCTCTGCCTCCCTTCTTCCCTCTGCCCCAAGATCTTGCCCTGAAACCAGGCTCCAGTGTCCATCCAAACCCCCGAGCATCTAGAAGCTCATCAGACACCACAGGGTGAACCTGGCCCACATCTGGCTTTTAGGGATGGGAACTGTATTTTGCCCTACTGCTGTATCTGGAATTTCTGTCCATGTGACTGGGATTTTCATGAATCTATCATGTATTATATCTCGACACACACTCTTTATTTGTGTGTGTACATGCGTTTATCTTATTTCATGCTGGTTTTGCTGTATAAAGGCCAACCCAAAATTTCAGTAAACTATGTTTATTTTACATATATGGAAAAAAAAAACAACTAAAATTATGGAAACGAAGCTCTTGTAGGAGTAAAATAACATGCACGTTCTTCTACCCTCTGTCTCTTTTCTGTATCACAAAATCACAGCTCTCACTGCAGACAGGATGTCTGCAATTCTGCATCCATATCACGTGCAGCAGCTGGACACATCTGTCTCAAACTGAACTAAGCCCAAACTTTCTGCTAAAAGTGTGTGAATGCCACTTGATCAAGCCAAAGGA